TCTTTAAGGTAGCGTAAGGGATCAGGTGGTTAGTGGCTTTGGCTAGGAGGAGCCCAGGAGGCAACCGTCAGCCGGGCTCGGTGGATATTTGATTAATTAGTTCAAAATAAATAGATATAGATAAAGTTTGGTGGATGATAAACAAAAAAAATTAAACATGGATATAAAATATGTATATAGATCATGTTTAATATGGATAATAAATTTTTATCTATTCATCCACAATGTTTTTTTTCGGTCAATGAAAAAGCTTTATTCATTTCCCAAATATGAACATTTATATACATCAAGATTCTCAAGTTTTTGAGAATACTATCAGAAGACAAAACTGATCTTCTTTTGACTATACAGATTTATAATGAACAAATCCAATCAGTTTTGTTTTCAGCGATATTCGGAGAATTTAGGCATATTATCAGAATGTCAACTTTGATCTTCTTAACCAAAATCTCCACGGACCTGTGCTTCTGCTGAAAAATCCTCATATTCCTCTCATACCATAGGTGATAGATAGTAGCCGATAATGCTGATCTCTTAATTTTTTGTTTAATACATTTCCCTCTTAACTTTGTACAATACCAATCCAAGAGAAAGTTCCAACTACATGATCTCCATTTGAAAAGAAGCCAATCCATGATGTGATTCCACACTTTCCTTAAGAAAGAGCATTCAAAGAATAAGTGATTTCGGCTCTCTAAACATACACCAGTGCACAACCTACACTGATTTGCACTAACAATGCCTCTCTTTAATAACCTGTCTTGAGTTTGTAATCTATTTTTTACAGTCAACCAGCAGATGAACGAGTGCTTTGGATAGCATAAACCTCCCCAGACCATGTTATACCATAGGACTGTATTTGATGCAGGGGAGAGAGCACGATATATCTCAGCTATTTTGATTTTTTAGCTGTTAGAACTGGAGTTAATCATCTGTTTCAGGTTTTCAACACTATCACTGAATTCCACAGCTTTCTCTGACTTTTAATATTTGTTTTCACATCCATGAGTCTCCTTTCTTTGCTTGTATTTACCAGACATTCCCATTCCTTAGATATGTACCATAGACCCAACTTATCCACAAGCATTTTTTGTTGATGTGAATATACCAGAGAAGCTTCAATGCAGAGGCCAGGTTCCAAATGGAGGCAGAAAAGATCCCCAATCCTCCTTTTTTCCTATCCATGCACACCCTCTCCCAAGAGACCAGAGGAATTGCTATCGCAGATTGATCATATTTCACCCACAGAAAATTCCTGCACAACTCATCAATTTTTTGGAAAACTCTTGTAGGCAAGATATAATTTGATGTCCAGAAAACTTGTACTCCTAATATAGTGCTGTTGATTATTTGTAACCTTCCTGCATATGATAATTTTCTGTAATTCATACAAGACTGAAATTTATCAGATATTTTACTGAATAGAGGTGCACAATCTGTGTATGAAAGCCTTTTGCATATGATAGGAATACCAAGTTATCTCATGGGCATTGTCCCCTCTGAAAACCCCAAGCAGTTGAACATAGAGGTTTTAACTGAATCTTCAACCCCACCATAAAAGATTGAGCACTTATTTGAATTTGCTTCAAGACCAGAAACTGCACAAAAGTCACTGAAACATTGATAAAGCTTATTCACTGAATATAGGTCACCTTTAGAGAATAGGAGAAGATCATCCGCCAATGTTAAGTGATTTATTTTGAATTTCCTGCATCTTGGATGAAACTTGAAATTCCTGTCCTCCTTTAACAAGTCCAATCTTCTTGAGAGATACTCCATTCCTAGGATAAAGAGGTAGGGGGAGAGGGGATCTCCTTGTCTAAGACCTCTTTTACCTTTGAAATAACCATGCAAGGATCCATTTAAGGCTATAGAATACTTATGGGAAGTAATACAAGCCATAATCCATCCTATGTATGCATCAGGAAATCCCAGGCCAACAAGCATTTCCTTGAGAAAATCCCAGTTAATGGTATCAAATGCCTTTTTAATATCAATATTGAGCATAACTCTTGGAGATGTGTTTCCTGTTGTAGTTCTTAGTAGGCTCATGAGCAAGTAATATGTTACTTGAAATTTGTCTCCCCTTCACAAAAGCATTTTGAGCTTCATTTACTAGGCATCCCGTCACTGATCTGATTCTGTTTGCCAAAATTTTTGAGATGAATTTGTATAGGCAGTTTTTCCTAGATCATAATCATCATAAATTGATAACAAACCAGGGGAATGGTCTGAGAAATTTTGCAGCAGATATTCCACATGACTGGAGTTATATTTATGTATCCATGCGTCATTAATCAGAGCTCTATCCAGTCTACTCCAAATTTTAGAGTTAGAATCTTGCATATCGTTCCATGTGTAGAAGCAACCTTCAGTTTTAAGATGAGAGAAGTGACAATCCTCAATGAATTCCCTGAACTCTCTGGTATCTGCCTCTGAAAGTATGGTCCCCCCTCCCCCCAAAAATTTTTTTTCTTCATTACCAATTATTGCATTGAAATCCCCACACAAAAGCCAAGGCATATTATCAACTGCCTGACAAATTTGAGTGAGGTTCAACCATAATTCTCTTCTTTTTTCTAATTATTTTAACCATATATAGAGAAAATTATGCAATCAATTCTCCCATCCATAGACTTAATTTTGCAAGTAATATGTTGATCTGATAGGTTATCAATTTGCACTTCCAGAATATTTGGATCTCATAGTAACATAATTCTGGCTTTGGTGGTGTTATTTGCATTAGAAATCCACTTCCAGTTGCCAGTAAGCTTCTTAGCAGTTAGCAATAACTGAGACTTTTTCAGCCTTGATCTTGGTTTCAAGTAGAGCTAGAAAAGATAAATGATATTATTGAATGGTGTTTAACCAAGTGTTGTTTTGAGGATTTATTCAATCCTCTAACATTCTAAAAGGACCAATTCAAAAATTTATCACACCCCCAATCAATAGTAGAGGGATCATATTCCAGATTACTGAGGTGAGCAAAAGAATTTCCTGGATTTAAACCTTTCCTAGTTCTGCTATTTTGAACTTGATTCTCATATAAAAGGCCTTTGCCCTTACAATTAGCATTATCTCCAGGTTTATGCTGATTTTGAACAACATGCACTGAGCTGCTATCAGATCCCCCAACTCTATTGCACATAATCATAGATTCCTGAGGTGCCAAAGCATTAGTTTCAGGTACGTGCATAGCATAAACTGGTCTCTGTTGGTTCTGAACATGCACAACATGCACGGAGCTATTATCAGCGTCAACAGCATCCATGCACATATTCAGATCATCCTGAGGTGCCAAATCATCAGTCCCAGACTTAATTTGTTTTTGAACATGCACAGCATGCAGGCAAATTCCAGAAGTACCAACAGATCTTTTGCTAGCACCCTGAGATACCAGAGTGTCAATTCCAGCCTTATGTGCAGGCCCTTTCTGAACATTTACAGCATGCACAGAGTTATTTCCAGTGTTGCATATACTCAAAGCCACCTGAGGTGCTAAAGCATTAGCTGCGGGCCTATTTTGATTCATCCACAATGTTAACTAGTATATGTGATATAATTATGTAACCTTAAAATTACAAAACAAATATTTTACTTAAAATTACAAGTGGCCACAAACAACTAAAATGGGGTATTTTAATATTTTTTGAAATGTGGCACTCGTTATTTGTTATTATTGCCTCAATAATCCACACAAGACTTCTATTTAGACGAGGTATGTGAGCTAAATATTCTTAGTTTTAACTCCATAATATATATGGCAGTTGTTTCTATTTGCCCCATATTTTCGTGATAAGTGATACATGAAATTTCATGGCGAATTACCATTGTAAGTAAAAGAATTGGATCAATAAATAAAAGAATTGGATCAAAGGAAAAAGAAACATAGGTTTAATATGTTGGAGTAAAAAAAACAAAGAGATTTAAAAAAAACACTGTATAAGATTAACTAATGAACTGCGTCTAATATTATAGTCCTACTTGACTTTTTACAGTTTATAAGAGTAAATTTTAGCCATAAATTACAACTATTTAGGATTGTTAGATCTCATAATAATATAAACATATGAATTCTACTTCAAAACTTTTCGTGCCTTTCAACTCATGAGTGATTGGTGTGTTACATTTATTATTATTGTTGTTGTTGTTGTTGTTGTTTGAAATTAAGTTATATTAAGATAAAACCATACGATATCTACAAAGATAATTATCACTAAGCAACTACAGATCTGTAACATTAACATGAATATTTTTCTAAAAAAACCAAACTAAACCACTTCTGCACTGCTCCATAACTATATTCGATGTCAATGCATCATTTAATATGGAGAGACCCTTAGCATGTGAAATTTTCCTGGCAAAAAAGAAAACCCATATGAAGCATAGATAGTATCTGAGAAGATCCAAATGAAAGTAGTATCATATCAACTTGCAAGTCTCCGTCCCTGATTTATTGTAATTGATTAACTTCAATGAAGAATCGCCATAAAGCTCCTTAGAGATCCACGACAACAATTAGAGGGACATAATCAATAACGGGACAAAGATTGACAAAAAAAATCCAAATGAACTAGGACTAACAACCCAATAACGGGACTAATGAACCCAATTAATGGGACTAAAAACAGAAAAGCAAACTAAAAAACTACAAACTCAATGAACAAAATAGAAGGTGAAGTTAAAAATAGTCTAAAAAGACTACTTTCAATCTGATGTGAAACGGGGGAGGGGGTCTATCAGAATCAGCAATTTAATTTAAACAATGCACTGTTTCGCCAAAATTCATGATCTTCGGTAGGAAATTAATTAAAACGGTTAATGCGATAGATGGATTTTAATAAGATTTTGCAACAATACTCATGAACAGTTCCAATCTCAAATATTTTAATCGCAATATTAATCATCATTGTCGCGAGTTCTAAGATCAATATCAATTT